GTATGTGCGGTGGTTAGCCAGAGATGACAAGGGCGAAAATCCTCATCATTGCCATCACATGGCATGTACACTAGATAACAATCTGGGAAGCAGCTCCATTAACAAATGTCGTGTGTATGTGCCAAAGAGATGCATCCCTGCAACATTGGATTGTGTTGGAAGGTCCTATGAGATATTGTGCTAAATGGGACATGGACTTATCCTCAGGGAAGAACCTATAATCCATAAATTAAGAATGTGTTCCCTTTATTTATTGGTTGGCTTTGATGGACCAAGGATGAACCCATATGATGGCATATGGTCTTGGATTCCGTTGGGCCAGTTTGAGAAGATTACAGTGCGATACGGTTTCTGTACAAGATGAAGTCCTCAATATATTTGTGTTAACCAAGGTTTCAAAAAACCCTAGGAGGTCGACCTGGTGCCCAATGCCCAGGTGGGCGCCCTGTAGTACAAATATTTAACAAAAATACATATATTGGCTGACCAAATGCACATATACACATAATTTGTGTCAATTTTGCAATTTAATGCATTTGAAAATAGTGTAACATACTTTTTATATACAAACATATAACATATCGCGCATGCTGAGAATTAACTTGTTCAAAATTTCAAAATTCAAACCGTACAAAACATTTAAAAGTCTAAAAGGCAATGTAAGTGTAATAGTTTGATGGTCTCCAACTCTCCAATTCTCCATATTCCATATCCACAAACCATAATAACATCTAAGTCTCCAACTCTCCAACTCTTCAACAAAGTGACTTAAAACAGTATAAAACCACACAACAAAATAGTCCAAAAGGAAAAAAACAGTTTGTCTAACATCCAAAATCCAAATGTCTAAAGCCCAAACCAAGATGGTGCAATAAAGATACTACAGAAGAAGATAGAGGATATCAATAAGAATCAGAATCATCATCGTCATTGCTCCCATCTGAATCGGAATCGAGGTCATTATCATGAAAATCAACACCTTCTTCAACATGTTCCTCTTCTTCCATACATTCTTTTGAATCTGCCTCCTCTTCTTCCATCTCCCTCTGTGAGAGTGAAGTACCAGCAGAAGTCATTACTCGAGTGGCCCTCCTATGATCAGAAGCTTGTCCCGAAGCCTCCTCAACCATTGCCCATGTCAAACCCCTCCCGAGGAAGACCTTCTAAGTACCAGGGTCACCAACTAGCCAATCTGAAGCATTCTCCATGTCTTTCAAAGCGACATGATTCTTCTTTGGCCAATTAAACTTCTCCTTGACCCTTTGATTCTCTCTAACAAAAACAAGTAATTGAGCATCCTTTGCACAAGCCTATTTCTTCTCTTTATATAAACCTAACCTATAAGGAAAAATGCAAGAGTACTAGACTATTGTGATCTTCTTACCTTCAATGCATCTATACTAGAACAATGAACTCGTAAACAACAAAAGCATACAAAATAATAAAAACCATCTCAAACGACCTTCAATTGCGCTCACAACTAGAAGAGGTAGTTGTCAAACTCAAGATCTGAATAGCCATCTTCTAGAGGTGTGAAGCACTACTCCCATGTTGTCTGCACCATTGTGCTGTAATATGTGGGCAACCATTATAATTAATTTAAGTATTTAATATTGTCATACATAATTTAATATTGCTCGCATAACTTGAAAGTTGAAAGAAAATTATAAAACAAAAGTACAAAATATATTACCTGGTTCATCTTTGTTTCTCTGTCTTAATAACATATCTTTCCCGAATGACATCAAAGCACACTCGTACGAAATGAGTACTTCATTTGATATCTTCTCTTAGATATGTGGATCGGGAACTAATCTCTCAAGGCATTTATTAAAATCATTCATAATTCTACTTTTTGCCTCAATATCAGCATCTGCATAAAAGAATTTGGGGTTCAAGTAGTATCCCACTGCATGCAATGGTCTATGAAGCCTGCCTGTCCCACTTGGTATCCATAATCTCCCAAAATGGGCCGTACTTGGCCTCATCATTGCCCAAATTCTCTACAATCTCCTTCAAGTGCATCATATATAAAGCCCATGGAGGGCTTATCAGCATCAACCAAGCGCAAGACCTTCACCAACGAAAGAAAAACTATTATCGCACGCTTTACCCCACACCAAAAATATTTGGAAAGCACAATACCCCATGCCTTCTTTCCCTTGGCATCTCTAGACCACTTACACCTACTACACTCCTCTGAAGCAAACATAGACCTCAATGGGCTCCTCCTGCTATACATGCTCCATAGACTACAGTAGGTAGTGGCAAATCTAGTGACCCCAGGACTCACTAGCTCCCTCTCCTTTGTAAACTTGCGCATCATGCTAAGGGTAATTGTGTGATTCTATATGAAGACTTAACGTCCTTGGTCTTAGAAAGAACTCCTTTAATAATAGTCAACTCACCAATGGCCTCAAGCATAAGATCTACGCAATGTGCAGTGCAAGGAGTCCAAAATATAAGAAGCCTCTTCTGTCAAAGCAAATGACCTGCAGCTAGATCGAAAGCAGCATTATCTGTGACCACTTGAATTACAAGTTCTTCCTCAACCTGCTCAATGCCCTTATCAATGAAAGAAAATATATAATGAGCATCATGAATATCATCAAAAGCATTAATGGATAGCAAAAAAACTATAGCCAAAGGACAATTTACCAACAAATTCATGATACTCCTCTTATCACTCCACATATCGATCATCAAAGAAACCTCAAATTTAGAAACCTCAAATTTAGCCCACCCCTACTTATAGGTCTTGAGATATTCTTTAGTATGTTCAACTTCTTTCTTTAATAGTGGCTCGCCGATCTCATATGGAGTTGGGTCTTTCAAACCTTGCCCAAATTAGTCACTTGCTTCCAACATTGTATGGAAGCTATTCAAGAGAGTGGTGTTAAAAAAAATGCCCACATGGTAAAACCACATAGCAATATACTGAATCACCCGACCTTTGTCTTCCTTCTTAAATCTATTTTCAAGTGTCACTTGCTTTTGCCCCTTTCCCTTCCCTTTCTAAATTACTGCCTCGGGGCTAGGAGTAAAAAACTTTCAATACGCCCTTTCATACGACGCTTCTTAGACCCAGAACCCCTCTTACTCTTAGAGCTCTGAGTACCAACAATGGTTACCTCTTCTTACCCCTCTTCAATCATTCCAGTGTCAATATCCTCATAAAAAATATGGACCCCTACCCTCAATTCGGCTATATCCTTTTCTTTTGATTTTTTTTTATTCTTTTCACCTTCAATGTACTTAAAAATTTCTTTCTTTACAAGCTCTTGGACTTTCTTACACGGGACAACATCACCACTAATACTAGCAAGATGTTTATTAAATCTATTTATGCCGGCATTAGAAACATGTCCACAAAATTTGCACATAATTTTATTCAGATCATTTTTATCCTGGTTAGCACAATGCTTTCATCCCGGATCTCCACCCCTAGTAGACCCCACAGAAGACATCTCAAATGGGAAAAATAAGACTCAAATAAAATATTAGAAAATGACCTTTTTGGCCCAATCTCTGGTCTTCGATGTTTGTTATCTCAATTGAGCTACTACTCAACACAAAGTCTTGCAATACCTCTAATAGCATCCCCAAAATAATTCCAATGAGAAAAGAAAAGTTTCAAAAAATTTTCAATTCACAAAAAATACTTTCAATTCCCAGAAAATACTTTCCATTCTCATAAATAGGTATAGCTAAGAGCTTGAGGGTGTTTTTTTAACTTTGGGGAATAAAAGGAACATGCACTCATAATAGGCATCCCTCCCCCCTCCCTCCTGCCCCTTCCTAAAAGGTCATGCAAGAATGATTAAGGCCGTCTACGTAATGCCAAAAGGAACATGCCATTGTTGCATTCCCAATAGACAACACTTGTCAACATGGATATTTCCATGTAAGCATCAAGGGTAGTTGTAGCCATCATTCTACTCCATAATTAATTAATTTACTTGATGTGACTCGATAACTTGCAAGATTATCAATTACTGCCCATGAGATGAAGCCCAACTCTTCTCCAAGCCTTGGTAGTTTTCGGTCCCATTTTAGGAGGATGAGTTCTTTCACTAATTCATATCATTGACGGGCTACCACGAACAAGCTGGATCAAAACTCCCAGAACAGAATGTCCTGACAAGCAGATCGTCAAGCAATATACAGAATGTCTCGAAATAATACCTGGTGCAGAGGTTTTAATTTACCAAAACTTAGAAGCTGAAATTTCATATCTCCCTCCAATAGATTTATCCCAATCATCTATAATACGACCCAAATATTTATTGGGCCATAAAGGCACTCATTACCTTGTTGCTATCGTTTTCACTCATACCAGGAAACTGGCTTTTAAGCTTGAACCTAGATATTACACATAAATATGTGCATCTTTAGTTAGCTCGATTCAATTCTACTTTTTTGTTGAACATGTGTTTTTTGTTGCTGAATACATTAGATTCAATCCTATTTTTCAATAGAACAAGAGAGAACAAGATAAGTCAGCATGATCCACTTTTTGGGACTTCAAGGTTAGAACCCTCGTGCAAACTCAATGCCTACCACTAGTCCAAAGCCTAGAAGACTATGGAGAAAGGTATCCTTGAAAATGAATATTTTGACAAGAAGTAGGATAACCATTGGAAAGAAATTGTGTTAACTGCAGTGAAGCAAATGCCAAAGTGAATCCCTTCAGTATCTAAAACATAATGGAAGAATATAACAATAGACATTAACACATGAAGGAACATACAATATGTATATGCATCCATAACATAAATTTTTATGGCAATATCAAGCACATTGGAGATAAAAAAACCAAGGTAATTGGAAGAATCGACATATTTTTTATGAATAATAACCAGCATTAATTGAGGAGACAAAACTTCTAAATATATAAATGCAAACTGGAAAAGTTACATAGGCAGCACATCCCCCCCATGTCTGCTGTTCAAACTAGAAATAATTCTGAGAAAATATTAAGTGAAACAAGGGCTCAATACCTTTCCCTTCCTCCCCAAGGACATTTTCATCAGGAACAAAGCAGTTGTCAAAAACAAGTTCACATCTGCAAAAACACTTTATAAGAACATGTTGATAGCTAATAAGCAAGAAAAAGAGGGACACACATTTGCATGAGGGAGCCAAATCATACGTATCACTTCCGCGCATTCCAAGCTTATCTAATTTCTGGGCAGTACTGAAGCTGCACATGAGATGTAAGAAATATTACACAATAAACTTCTTGAAACTTGGTAATCATTGCAAGAATGAGAGAATACGAGGAATTAAGGGCATCCCACAAAAGTCCTAAGAAAAGGGCAACAAGTAGACTAGACAACAATTTTTGTTTAGAGTAAAACATGGGGCATCCATAATTGAAAATAGGTTGCTAAGAAACTTCCGTTAGCAATGTCAACTCAAAATTCAATGAGTAGAAGAAAAATACCCTTTCATTCCCTTCTCAATAATAAATGCTGTTATGCCTTTTGAGCCAGCAGACACATCTGTTTTTGCATAAACAACCTACAAACAAATCATGATGAAAGCTTTCATAAAGAAGAATAAAACTGCATTACCAAACTTCCAAGGAAGCAACAATCACAACCTTCTTTTAACCATCTTGTAGATTATCACAAGAACATCTGGAACATCTGCCAGTCGAGAATGTTACAACATAATAAAGAATACAGGTATGCAGATTAATCTCAGATGAAGCTAGTAGGCTCAGCGTCAATTACACATGAGAGGAGGGGAAGCAAGCTAAAATTCCTCTATAAGCTCACAATGCACATGTCCAATAAGCTCATAAATTTTTTTTCATTTGCACACAACAGGATATATGACTTCTCAAACTTAAACTCAGCACAAATAAAGATGCTTTGCCTCAATTTGATCAAGGACAGGAAAGAGATTCATAATCATGACATACCTCCAAAAGTTACTTTGGCATTGTTTTTCTTCATAGCTACATGCATATCTTTTTAACTTAGTTTTTATCAGATTTTGGGGATTCATAAGTGTTTTGTAGAGATGCAAATGCAGCTATTATAATATCTTCGCGTTTTCAAATTTTCTCCATGGTCCAACTCCAAGTGTTTTTTTTTTCCCCCCAATGTCATTTCCACCTCTTCCATTGCCAAAATACAATACTCATCTGTTAATAAATAAACAAAGGAGTACATACCTCATTGATATTCTTACCCTGATAAATTTTCTACACTAAATGGTCATCACTTCCCTATAGCAGATGGGAGAACTTTCACAAGCCAAGAAGACATCCAACAGGTCCTCTCTAGATTTTACAAGAAACTCTTAACTAAAGATTATGGATTGAGACCATGGAGAAAGAACAATATGGCTTCTCCCAACTATCAGTCTTGAACACATCATGGTCAGAACAACCTTTTGAGATTGATCAAGTGAAATAAAACAATGTTTAGTCTAGAACATGATTTGGAACCTGAACCAGACAGCTTCCTCAGTACAATTCTCGGATATTCCTGAGAATGAAATGATGCATATGTTCACGAGGTTTTCATGAGAGATGCATTATGAACAAAGGGGCGAAGTATTCTTTAATTACCCTCATCCCTTTTTTGTTTGAAACTATTAACTTTTGTATTGAGTAAGAAAATGTACAAGCTGCCAAAAAATGGGCTTCCCACAAACTGAGAGCTGTATACAAAAGTGGGCATCCCTACACCTAGGGGCTCTATACAAAAATTAAGCATCCCATGAGCTGGAAGCCCTATACAAAAACCACAACAAAGACGGGCAGTGCCCGCCTGGGTCTGAAAGAGAGATCGATGGTGCGGTGTTGGCTTCTGAGTAATGTCTGGGATGTGTTGTAGACTGCTCCCTCTTTAGATAGTGTGTCGGGCTGTACTTGTCCTGCCACCAAATATGCCTCCATGAGACGACCATATGTTTGCAAATGTGATGAATTTCGTCAAAGATATATGTGAGAATCCAAGGGCAAGGTCTAGAGCCTGAGGCCCAAGCAATGACATTCTTGGAGTCTCCCACTAAGAGAGTTGGGCTCCAAGAGGAGTTGAAGCGTTTGAACCCTTCGAGGAGTGATACGGCCTCAGCCTGTAAGGTGCATTTGGAAAATGAAATCAGCAAGTCCGCTGCATTTGGAAAATGAGGTCAGAATCTGGCCGTCCTGGTTTCTGATGAGACTTCCTATACCTGAAGGGCCAAGGTTGCCAAGGGAGCAGCCATCAAAGTTCAATTTAGATTGGCCTGGTTCAGTTGGTCTCCAACACGAGGCACGAGAGATGCGAGGCTGCCGTGAGAAGAGCAGGGCCTACCAGTTGAGGAGAAACACAGAATGCAGAACTCTTTTGAATTACTTGTGATACGTTGCCCAAAAGCTGACTTGAGTACCAATCTTGTCGATCAATCTCTCCGGGGAGGTACTCTCACCAAGGAAGATTCTATTGTTCTAGCAGTCCAAATAACCCACAGGGTGGCTGCTGCCTTCCACAAAATAATACCAGGTTAGGGCCAAGGGAAGGGGTGGAGGGAATTGACAAATAAAGGATTGATTTGGGGGTAACCCATTGCCAATTAAACATCCAGGCCACCGGGCAGTGCATGAAAAGCTACGCATTGCTTTCCTCATCATTAGTGCACATGATATATCTATTGGGGATGGGTAATCCTCTTCTTTGCAACTGGTCAACCATGGAATCTCTTTCGAAGAAGGCTACCCAATTGAAAACTTGGGGTGCTATGGATGACCTCGCCTTGGCAATGATGAAAGTTGGATAGAGAGGGAAGGTAGGGGGTTGAGTGAGCTTGAGGTATAAGGAAGAGACCGAGAAAGATCTTGAGGGAGAGGGGCACCAAAACATCTGGTCTACCCTAGAAGGTGGAGAGGAGAGGTTAAGAAGTCAACAAATTCAAGGTCTGAGAGTGGTATCCTAAAGGTGGGGTTCCAAACTCCGGAGGAGTGGTGAAATAGTCCACCATGGTAGTGAGACGATTGAGAGCTAGGAGAAAAAGGGATGGAAATATGTCTTGGAGAGGGGTGCAACCAATCCAAAGCTCCGACCAAAAGCTCACCTGACGACCCGACCCTCTCGAGGGTGAAAGGGAATATTTGCTTTGAAATGGGTACGGGAGGTCTGAATAGACTTCCACACACCAGAATAATTGCAGTATGCCTAGCAATTAGGTACCCATTCAGAGGCCTAAAGGCAATATTTATGCCTGGCAATTAGGTACCCATTCAGAGACCTAAAGGCAATATTTATGTCAGAGTACCTACATCCAAAGTTGGTTCTCTTGATGGCTAGGTGCCACCACCAATTGCTAAGGAGGGTTGTGTTATGAATTTTACGATATCGGATGCCGAGTCCTCTCAGGCGTTCAAGCAAGTAAACCTTTTTTCCAAGAAATGAGATGAAATCTCCCCAGGTCACTCTCCCCCAACTAGAGGGAATTCCTCATGAGATGTTCAAGATGTAGGATAACGGCTGCCAGCATACAAAAGAGTGACATCTGGTAGAGGGGGATATTGGCTAAGGTGGCTTTCATGAGGGTGAGTCTGCCCGCTGGGGAGAGGTAGCTGCCCTTCCAGCTGGCTAGTTTGCGATCAAATTTATCTATGATGTGGGCTCATTGCATTATGTTTGGGATTGCCAAAACAAAGAGGCACACCCAAGTAATTGGATGACAAAGCTTCAATTTTGCACCCCCATATGTCCACGAGATCTTGGGTATCTTGAGGGGCTAAGGACACCCCAATCATCTTGGACATGGCCATATTAACTTTGAAACCAGTGGCAAACTCGAAATGTTTTAGAAAAAGGAGGGAGTCTACTTTCTGTATTGAGGCACCACTGAAGACAAGGGTGTCTTCTGCATATTGAAGGTGGGTTATAGTTGGACTCGAGCCCCACTTTTGAAACCATGTAATAGACCAGCTTAACACAGTCTATGACTCTTTATCGTGCACAAAGATGGGTAGAAATACAATATTATAGACCAGCTTAACACAATCTATGACTCTTTATCGTGCACAAAGATCGGTAGAAATACAATATTATGGGTCATAGCATCATGCAAAAGTCACTTTTTGGACTCAAAACTTAGCCAAGTCCATTCAGCTAGGTTAGTTACGAGTCTTCACAATCCCCAACATGAGCCTGTATAAAAGATTAATGAACTTATCAAATTCTAAAAGTTGTGCAAGTTTTTTAGAGGACTCATAAGTCCCTACATTTTCACCCGACAAACCAAGTCTCACACAATTTTAAGTTAGCGACTCCTTCCAAGAAACAAAAGTGATTGTTCATTTGATTGCTGACACTCCTTAGTCCTATTTTTGCCCTTTTGCAAGATCCAACCCAAAAACTACCAAAAAAGGCCAAATCCTTAAATGGGGTTATTTTGTAAAGAAACCCTGTAAAATCTTCATGACCTCAAACCCATTGGATTTCAAAGTGTTAGGGGGACATTTTGGAAAACATTAGGGCAACTTTTCGAGGCTCGGAAGCATATGTGTGCATATTTTTTTATGCATGATATGTGTAGCCAAGTTATTGTGGTCAGGGGACCCAAGTGTCCATATGTTAGGGAGCCATATGTCTATATAAATGAATGATCACAAAGTTTGTGACGAGTGATCTTGCTGATCCATTTTATTCCTCTGGTTCACTGCTCTATCACCATGTCCTTGCAAACTTTAAGTTTAAATCAGAGTCTAGGGTTTAACATGGTATCAGAGAGGTAGAAGGTCATCATTGCTGTTGTATGTAGTCTCAACAGCCAAGAAGAGTATTTAAGCAAAATCCACACCAGTAGATCCAAAACTAGGGGTGGCATCAGTTGTACTGGCTGCTGATATCAGTTGTACAAACATCTTTGGCCCCAAAATTTCTTAGCGTTTGTTATGCTCATCTAGCCAATATTTTTAAGACCACACATGGAAGACTTCCATGCTGGATTGATAGATTTTGAGGTAAAAAACTTGGCATTGGTGGATCTATTTTTGGTCCCTAAAGATTGACACTTAAGTTCTATTTTTTAATACTAAATCGTTCTCTAAGACAATATTAGGTCATTATACAAGTTTCATTATGATCATATATCAAATCTGCGAGATTTTACAAATTTTGAGGCTATTTTATTATTTCACATGCAGACCAAAGAGAGATCTGATTTGCGCATTTAAAGGGTTCATTCTGGTATGGAATTGAGTCAACTACATTCACTACCCTACTTATTCCTTGATCCAATTCTCTTGCTCATCGGATTTACTGATAGGAAGATCCAATGCGTGATGTATTGTTTGTCTCAACTCTCAGATATTTTCTTATTTGGATCATGTATTGTCAGTGCTACCCATATTGAATAAGTTGGTATTTGTCTATCATCTATTTTATGCCCTTAAAATATTCAAGTAGCCACCTATTCTTCATTATCATATCTTTGGAAATTTTGACCACTTCTGATTTGGACCTAGAGCACTACACATAGCTCAACTGAAAACCCAGAAATTCAGATTGCAATGGTATGCCTTAACAACCATAATTATTTACGATGTGCATAATCTATCACCAGTGTACATAGAGGTCCAAAACGGGGCATGTAACTAGTGCCATTCCATGCCTGGATCAGAGAGATCTGAAGTGTGAGGATTGGATGCCATCAGATGCAATCATTTAGAAGTGGCTTCTTAGTTCCCTGGAGCCCCAGAACAGCAACCATTTGTTATTTAATGGAACTACTAAGAAGATCTGGGAAGATGCAAAAGGTTCAAAAAGAGAATGGAGTCAGAATCTTTCAGCTTCACAGAGAAATAGCAAAATGCAAACAACTCCATAAGCCATTGCCTGCCAATTACTGCACTCTGAAAAGCATCTTGGTTCCATGTCCAACCCTAGTTCTCAGGTTCGAATGAGTTGCGAAGAAAATTGCAAGAATAAGACACAAACATGGGGATCCAAGACCTTCGCCACGCACCACAAGAACAAATAGAAACAAAAGATAACGAGAAGGCTCTCTCTCTCTCTCCCACTACATTAATTTTCTTTCCTTCAAAAATAAAAACAAGAGCCAAGCTCCCATCACATGAACGTCCTTTTAAAAGCCCCCTTCTCAACGTCGTTTTCCACCCTTCTTTAAAAAGACAAACCCAAACCTTCTATTGTTATTATCTCATGTACTTCTCTAAGAAGATATAAACCTCCCTAAAAATAATTCATGTATCTTTTTAAAAAGAATACCTATTACATGTTCTTATCTTCCTATCTAAAATAAGATTACCTAAAGACAAAATGTTGCCCATAATGAAAAGATAGATCATCCTAATGAAAAGATTGACTTGATAAAAAGATAAAAAGGGACTCTTTATCCTTGAAACAAACTCAACCTCCTTTTACTTCTCAACCTTTCTATACAATAATTCCAAAAAACTAAACCTAATAAAAGATAAAAATTCTACCAACATATCTAACAATAAAATAAAATTTTGAATCAACCAAGACTTGATCAACATTATTCTCCCTTGATTGGAGATAACTCGCCCTCAAGTTTTGAAACGGGCCAATATGAATCCCCCTCTAAACAGAAGGTCTTTCTAAACACGAACATTGCGAATTCACTTAGGGCTTGATCTTGGGACCTATGGATTATAGGCCTCATTAGAATATCCTCGATAATATCCTCAAATAAGTTCCTCAAGGGTTTGGTGCACCCAGATATAGTAGCCTGGCATTATGGAATAGAATCCTTTAATTGGTAACAGGAAAGATTAGTCCCATTATGGAAGAGAGAAAATAGTTATTTAGGGTCATTGCCCCCCTCTTGCCTCCTTCCTCAACTTCTTTCTTCTTTTGACTAAAATCTTAATAGGATCGAGCTCCTTTGGGTTCAAGTCAACATCTTGCTTCTCGATTTGTCTATTGATGGGGAAATTACACATCCTTGTTGATTCAAGGCCAACTTCTTTCCTTTTATCTTGTCCTTCATAAAAAATAGGCCCTTCAACAACAATGGGGTCACCTGTGCCATCAAGAAATGATGATTCCAATGAAAATCCAAACCTACTTGTTCTTCATCTTCAACTAGTTCTTCATTAAATGCAAGTAGATCTACTTTAAATGCTGAATAGATCTACTTTAAATGTTGAAATCCCATGATCTACTCTCCCAAACATGAGGCTCCCAATGCAGAGTATGTGCATAGAACGGGTTCTCAAAAGCAGCTTCCGACTCACTATCGTCATCATAATGTGTCAGAACTGAGTTTTGCGACAAGCGATGGGTGAAATCCTCAACTTGCCTTCTATCTCAATATCTCAGAGGTCTCGTTCTTGCTAGATGGGCTCGTTCCCATTTCCTAGCCGTCAAGTATGTCTGCCAGTCATGATGCCTTATCATCGGACACCATGAACCCACAAAAACTGACGCTCTAATACCATCTGACACAGCTGAAAAATCACCGACGGCCAACAACCAGCAAATACAACTGTGTTTTAGAGAAAGAAACAAAACTGAGAAGAAGATCACAAGAAGGCATAAATGTGGGGATCCGAGACCTCCGCCACACACCGCAAGAACAAAGAGAAGAAAAAAAAATACGAGAAGTCTCTCTCTCTCTCTCTCTCTCTCTCT